AGCCATCCCTACAAAGCCATTTTATATAAAAAATAATGAGAACAGAACTAATTTCGTTAGCTAATTATCACATGCGTTTCACATCAGCCCACAAGCAACCAGAACCCATTATCAGTACACCCCGCCATTCTCATCAAGCCGATTAATGGGAACAAACCTGGAACTGGCTTTTGCAGAAATGAGTCTACCATCTTCAAAAGGTCTCCCCTTGTGATCTGTACGATGCAGTGAGGCTCCCCCTGGGGTCTTCGGGAGCAGGAAAATCTTGTCTTCACCTCTTCCTTGTTGCCCCCTACAGAGTGCTGGAGGTACAAGCTGAACCATTTTATGCAGCTAGTCCAAGCACTTAATTTATCCTATTAGTGACAGAATGAAATTTCATGATGGTCTTCAGCCCCTCTTCTGCCTTGGGTCTAGGGACCAATACACAGCCTTCATCTGTTCTTGTCAGGATATGAGACTGGTGGATATTTTTTCTCTATATAATTGCATATAGTTCTTGTGATTCATACATTTGCCCACCTGTCAAACCTTAAGTTTTATTCATTTAGTCGTTTATTCATTCAAGTGGTCACTGTTATCTGACTGAGGTCACACACTGTATTAGATAGTGAGAAAAGAGACAAATAATTGTTGCATTTAATGAGCTCATAATATGGCGTAGAAGAAAAACAAAAACGCAAACTAAAATTAGATTGTGGAGTGATGCATTATGACTGTCAGTTGTATCAAAACCCCCCACACAGGAGATGGATGATGCAAGGGATCAGGCGAGCTTGACCTGAGCACTGAAGAATACAAAGACCTAAATGAACAGCTAATCTGGATAGTTCTGGACAGAAGACAAACAACAAGGACACAGAATAAAAATTTAAAAATTACTAGTAGTTTGCATGCCTGGAGCATAGGGTACATATGGAAAAGTTGCAGACGAAATGAAGCTTCTACCTTATACTCAAAGTGTGGTCCATGGATTGGCACCATTGGCAGACCCTGCGAGCTCTTTAGAAGTACAGAATCTCAGGCTTCACCCCAGACCTGCTGAATCTGACTCCGTATTTTGACAAGATCCCAAGTGTGACTTGCATGCATGTTAGAGTTTGAGAAGTACTGGACTAGAGTGTATAATAGCTGACAGATTAGTTGGGAAAATGATGAAAATAAAAAAAGAGCTTCCAGTCTTTGACAGATGCAAACCTGCCAGGAAGCAAGAAGGTGAGCCATTGAATTGCATCTGAAGATCCTCAGGATTCTGCTTATTTCTCAGTCCTCTGTGACAGAGATTATGCTTAACAGCTCCTAGTTAGCAAGGTTGTCAGGTTTTTAGATGAGTTTGAAAATATATTTTCCTCTTTGGTTAAGGTATCTAGCAGGCTATTATTTTGATAGTGGGTTTTCATTCCTGCCACTTTATAAAATTTCTCAGTCATATAAGGCAGTACTTCAACTCTTCTCAGTAATAAATGATAGCAGACATGCCCCCAAATTAATAAACATGCATATGTATTGCAACATTGACATGGGGATCCGCTGAGCTAGAGGGGACATTGCTCTGATATTCAGATGGCCATAAAGCTGGGGATGTCTCACCCAGCATCTTTAGAGAGCAAATTTCCCCTGACTCAAAATACTCCCTCTCCTCCAGGAAGATGAGGAAAAGGGAGTGTTAGCATCCTAGTGTGTCACCAAATGAAGGACGGCAATGATGGTGTAGTAATAGTATTTGAACACGGAATCAGATTGTTCTCAATTTAATGGATAATTAGATTCTTCTTACTCGCTATGTGACCTTGAGTCAGCAACCTATTTATTTCTCAACTTGAGTTTTTATATCTGTAAAATGAAATCACTGTGTGATGTAGCATGTGGGATTGACTGGAACCAAATAGATGTTCCAGAGTGCAATAATAGCTATAGAGAAATAGGAAAAGTATTGGTGATCAGAGGTGCGGGATTGGGGGGTATACTGGCTTGCCATTTAAAATAGGATGATCCAGGTGGGCCTCACAGACAGAGGGAGTGGCCGGTGTCTTAGTCCACTCAGGCTGTGTAGCAAAACACCACAGGCCTGGTAGCTTATAAAAAACAGAAAGTTATTTCTCATGGTTCTGGAGGCCAGGAGTCCAAGATCAGGGCGCCAGCCTGGTTGGGTAAGGGTCCACTTCCGGGTTGCAGACTTCTCATTGCACCCTCACATAGTAGAAGGGCTAGTGATCCTTCTGGAGCCTCTTTTATAAGGCATTAGTCCCACTGATGGGGGCTCCACCCTCAAGACCTGGTCACCCCTCAAAGCCCCCACCTCCTAATACCATCACTTTTAGGGGTTAGGATTTCAACATATGAATTTTGAGGGAGACTCAAACGTTCAGACCGTAGCACACTGCAAAAGTCCTCAGACAGACTAAGGATGCCTCATATGTTTAAAGGAGAGCAAGGAGGCCAGTGAGCCTGGAGCTGAGTAAGCTGGGGGAGAGGGTAGGAGACGAGGTCAAAAAGAAGAGGAGGCTCACAGAGACTAAATGCTGACTGCTTCCCAGGGTCAGGGGTCACCTTGACCTAGGTTTTGCTCTTCTCTGGAGAAGTGGAGCTCTCTAATGAGAAGCACTCCCCCCACTCTACCTGCACCAGGGTCTGTAGATGAAAGACCTCAGCTGGAATACGATGGAGCCTTTGTATCCTTGTCTCGCAACGGGATCTGACAGATCCACATTTAAAGAGGTGGCAGTGGGACTTGTATGGCCTCTGACATCTTTGTCAGAAGACTTCTGTACTGAGGCTCCTACCTATGTGGATCCATGTCAGGATGCAGTTCACTGGGACTGCCTCAGGAGAAGGAGAGGAAGTCCAGGAGTGGGAAGCAGCAAAGAAGGAAGTGATGACTTGCAAGCTGTCTCAGACCATGAGACTCAAAAGGTTGGCTGTGGACTTGCCTTCTGTAGTCCTAGAAAGTCCACTTAACCCACCTGAGACTTACCTTATTCTAAAAATGAGGAAATAGGTCAGAAATCTTCAAGATTCTCCCCAACCCACAGAAGCTCTCTGCCTGTGCATACATTGTGTGACATCACTTATCCGTCATCTGGTTTTCCAAGTGGCTCTCTTCATGTTCTGAGCTAAAGCACGACAACTGTTGTGGACTGAATTGTGTCTCCATAAAATTCATATATTACAGCCCTGATCCCTAGTACCTCATATTGTGACTGTATCTGGAGGTAGGATCTGTCTTATATAATCACTTAAGTGATTTCTTTAAAATGAAGTCATCAGGGTGAACCCTAATGCAATAGGACTGGTGTCCCTGGAAGAAGAGGAAATTTGGACCCAGGCACAGGCAGAGGAGAGACCATGTAAAGACGCAGTGAGAAGATAGCCATCTGCAAACCAAGGAGAGAGACCTCAGAAGAATCCAATGCTGCCAACTCTTGATTGTGGGCTTCTAGCCTCCAGGACCGTGAGAAAAGTTTCTGTTGTTTAAGCTCCCGAGTCTATGGCATGTGTTGGGACACCCCTAGCAAACTAATGCAGCAACTACTTAATGGCATCGAAATTATGCCCAGGGAGTCAGGCATGGCCTTGGAGCATATTAGGGATAGGGAGGAGAGAATGAGCACACAAAAAGGGAATCAATCCCTTCTTCTCTGGGGCAGCCCAGCTGGTGCCCACATCAGCTCTTGACTCAGACTCTTTCTAAAATGTAATATGAAAATGTACTTCTGCTGATTTCACTCCTGGACCCTTGAGCAAATGCATCTCTCCGTGTCGCATGAGCTAACCAACCTGTAAAAAGTGTTCATACCTCTGCCCGCCTCCAGGTGTAGCTCTTGTGGACCAACCCACCTTTCCCATCCTGTAGCTGGACATCTGTTCTGCACTTAGCTCATTTTTCTGCCTGCAGCTTGGCACGCCCCTTGTCACATCGCCCTTCTTGGTTTCCTGTCACTGGATGCTGACCTCCTTCTGCTTGGGGCCTGGTGACTAACCAGGGTGGCCCTGTAATACAAATTAGATTCTCGAATTGTCAGAGATAATCAAAATGGTTTGATATCACAGCCCTCTGTGGATGTAAAAATGCCAATGAGCTGTCTTTTTCATCTAAATAATTGACAGGATGAGCAATATTTTAAAGTAGTCATGGAATATACAGCGGTATTGTAACAATAATAGTGATATTAAATAAAAAGATAAAATCACAACTCAGGCCCATAGCAACTTAATTATTCATTTTCTATGTCTTTTATACATAAATATTTTACACTTGTAATCATAGAATAGGTTTTATACAATTTTCTACTCTGCTTTTCTCATTTACATAACATGCAGACACTTTTCCTTATTCCTCAGTAATCTCAATTATTACTTTTATTGGCTCCATAATATCACATATAAATGGATGTTCCTTGTCTTAAATATCTTGTTAGACATTTCGGTTGTTTTAAACTTTTCTGCTATTTTGAATAATGCTGAAATAGACATCTTCAGGAAAATAGTGTTTTCCATCCTTTGGGGCAATTTCTATAGGAAATTTCCCAAGAGGAAAATGGCCAAGTCAAAAAGTCTGAGCATTTTTGTAATTTTAGAATTATATCAAATCTTCAAAAGACCTTGTCAGTTTACATCGCCTGCAGCAATGGATGAGTGTAACATTTTCATCTCAGCCTCATCTGAAATTGGTGTTATCGTTATTTTTCATTTTGAGTTTTTTAGCAAAAGTGAAATGTGACCTTATTTTTCTTTTGATCGTGATTCCTTGATCAAAGTGTCCTATTTGACATCTCCTCTAATTTGTGAATTTATATTCATATTAAGAGGTAAATAAAGTCTTGGTGGGGAGAAATGAATATTCAATATCCACTATCTGTCAGTTTACTAGGGATTTTATATTGACTACTTTTTTTTTTGGTGAGGAAGATTGGCCCTGAGTGAACATTTGTTGCCAATTTTCCTCTTTTTGCTTGAGGAAGATTGTCCCTGAGCTAACATCTCTGCCAATCTTCCTCTATTTTATGTGGGATGTCACCATAGCATGGCTTGACAAGCTGTGCTAGGTCTGTGCCTGGGATCAGAACCTGCTAACTCCAGAACACCAAAGGAGAGTACACAAACTTAACCACTACGCCACAGGGCTGGCACTATTTGCTACTTTTTAATATTTGCAATAACCTGTGACGAGTCACCTGAGACTTTGTGTGGTTAAGGAACTGTCCAGAGTCACAAGTCTAGTAGGTCAGAGAACCAAATTAAAACTCGGAACCATCTCCACTCATGAACTGACCAATAGTGTTACAAAACTGATTTATGGCCATGAAAGCATGGATGCACTAGTTCACACTAGGCCAGGAGCTAAGACTGACCTGTGGGCAGTTAAAATAGAGTATCTGGGCCCAGAACTCAGAGATTCCGATACTGTGGGTGTGGGGTGTGGCCTGGAGATCTGCATTTTTACCTGACAGCCCAGGCGATTCCCATCAACAGGCAAGGCTGGCATTTGCGTATGGCAGCAGTTTCCACTCTCAGCTCTCAGAGTCACCTGCAGAGCTTTGTAAAACCTACAGATCTTGGAACCACACCCCAGAGCTACTGACAGAATCTCCCCAGGTGGGGCTTAAGAATCTGTGTCTTACCAGGCCTCCAGCTAGTCTTACCCAGCAGCCGCACAGGGCTCCTCAGTGACATTTGGAAAGTCCTGAACAAGAACGTCATTGCTGTTGCCCTTTGGATCTACGTCATGGGGTCCTGTCTTAAGTGAAAGTCTTTTGTAGGGAACTTTAATTAATTAAATAGAAGCTTCTGGAATGAGAAGACAGAGGCTGTGGTGAAGCCAGTAACTGAATCTGCTTGCCTTTTTAGACTTTCCCTAAAGATCACTGTAAGAACTTTGAAGATCTTTAAAAACCCTTCATTTATCATATTTCTCAGATACACTCGTACATCTTAGTTTTTATATAGGTTAAAATTGTATTTCTTTCTTTCTCCCAAAAAACACAGTGTCTGCTCTCATGACAAAGCATGTTTCTGAAGTCACTCTCCTTTTAGCCCTCCAGTAATTGTTATATTCACACGTTGGATGAAGAGCCTAAGATAAGGGTTTAATTTGGATTAATAGGATAATTACTGCGTGACAAATGAAAGCCAAACACCGTGAGGAACCGCTTTGTGAGAGAGCTCTTTGTCTGACAAAGGTTTGTTTTCAGGTATGCGGCCTAAATTGCGAACTTCCGAAATATTTCCCAAGCTTCTGAGGAAATTTACATTTAAACATCCAATGCGACCTTGCCTTTTTCTTGGGTGCTTTGAAGAGTCAAGTTTGAACTCTCTGGTGGAATCTTTCTATCACTTCTCAGGCTCTGCCATGGCGGCTGAATTGTCACCTCACCCTTGTTGACACCCGAGTGCAGCTTCCTGAAAATGAGGAGGCGGGGTCTCTAAGCTGCGGGTGGCAGGAACGCATCCTGCCTGAGGCTCAGGCCGTGATCACCAGGGCATCTGTCACGCTCTCTTGTGGTTGTTTACGTGTTTCTCATCCCTGTTGAACTGTGAGCCCCATCAGCCGCGAGGGCTGAGCATTAATACTTGGACAATAATGACAAAACAGCTTCAACAACTAACAGCTTTTGAGCCGTGGTGATGCCACAGGTCCTGTGCTAACATCTGTTAGACACACTTCAGAAAACAGAAAAATGTGACAGGAGAGGGGAAAGAAACTTGCCAAAGATTCAGGGGCGGACCTGGGATTCTAATTCCGAACCCCCTGACTCCAAAGCCTGAATGATCACACCCCACTTTTGTATCAGCACCACCTAACCCACCGTAGGTCTCACGTGCATAGTAGGTGTTGAGCACACTGTGTAAAGGGCTAACATTTGTCCGGGGTCTACTCTCTGCTGGGTTTTGTGCTCAGCTCTTCACAGACATCATCAGTCCCCAGAATCTAACCACCCCACTCTTGTCTGGGGCTTGCCTGTGAGACGGTGGGCCCTCCTGAGGATGGGTGTAGGGTACACTGGCTCTGGACACATGGGACTGGCTGGCATTTCAGTAAAACCCAAGGCTTTTGTTACCTGAATGACTCATTTCTTTTTCTCTCCTCTCCTGACTTCTTTACCTCTATTTTATGATGAGTGCTTTTTCAATCTCCTTCTACATTTTCCCCTCCCATCATTTACCACCTGAACCCCTCAGTACATAAGAGATACACAATGGGCACCTACCATGTTCTTGGTACTAAATGGTACTCTCATTCACAGCTGCATGTTGTCCCATCTGCCATGCGTCCCTCTGGATTCTTTCCCAGCCACTGTGAAGAGTGCAGGTTGGGGTCACACACTGTGCTGCCTGGGGTCACAGCCTCCTTTCACCTTTTATTATTTTATGGCCAGGGGTGAGTTACTTAATCCCTCAGTGCCTCGGTTTTCTCATCTTTACAAATGGGGTAATAACAACAGTCCCGATTCCATCAGGTTCGGGGAGAGTTAAATGAGCTAATACGTGTAATGAGCTTGTAGCTGTCCTTGGCTCCTAACAAGAGCTCCAACAATTTTGGCCTTCTCCTTGACCCACCCCACTGTCCTTCTCTTAATCTACCTCAATTTGGGATGCCTCTCTGCTGTGTCCTTTATAGTCTACAATCCTCTCTGTCCCCTTTCTTAACTCATTCCTCAGGGTTGCCTTCCATTCCCTTTGTAGTTTATTTATTTGTTTTTCTTTCAAATGTCTTGTTAGTTATACCTGAGAACACACAAGGATATATTTATAGGTATGTATGTTTTGTGTACACAGTCATCAGACCCGGGGAAAGTGAAAGGTTCAGTCAATTTCATGGCTGGTTTTTTTAACAAAATGAGTTTATTTGGAGAATGAATTAATAGAATCAATGACATGTAGGCACTGTCTCATAAGAAATTATAGTTTCACCCAAGTGAATTTGTTTGCCATTTGTGTGTGTGTGTGTGTGTTACTAGGCTGATGTCTGCCCCTCTGCAAAAAAAAAGACCAGGTCTCCTGAGTCCTTAATGAATCTTGGCGGGAAAGATATTCAACTTCTCAAAGCCTCAGCTGTCATATCTGAACAACAGGGATGGGTGGGTCTCCTTCATAATGGTGTTTGGGGAAATATTTTGCTGATTTTAAAGGTTTAATGGAATTGGGGTAAAATGCCAAGAAGAAGAAGTTTTACCATCTGTTTATTTTTCCCCTTTTTCAGTGAGGTCTACCCAAGAATCTGTAGAAACTATCACTGTTCCCTTAGAGTTCATGCCTCTTTAGCCATGTGGTAACTTGTGTGTCTATGTGTGTATGTGTGTGTGTGTGTGTGTATTCTTCCAAATTTCTCATCTACAGGATTTCATGCCTCTCTCCTGGAAAAATGTATGTAACTTGAAATGTTGAATGGATACCATGGATCTTGGGAAGGACATTCAAACATTGAAAACACACAACACTGGCACCAAGTACTCTATAATAGTTGGAACTCAGGCTCAAGTTGGTGATGCTATCCATGACGGGATGTTAAAGAAGAAGATGAAACATAGAAAAGAAAACAAGAGAAGTCTCTTTTCTGGCCTCCTTTCTTAATTATGGAATACATGGATCATTCAGGCAATAGTGAAGAGTCAAATTGGAAGAAGATTGGAGAAGTTATTGTAATATTGGATAAGATTTCTTGCATAAATCTTTATGAAATTTTTTCTTTCTAAAAAAAGGGAGCCCATGGATTGGCTCCCTTCGTATTTCATTTCATTCATTTCATGGATTGGTATCCTGAGGCTAAAATTGGTCCTAAAATCTTGCCATCTAGGCCAATCTGTACATCCTCTCTCTCTCCTACCTAAGGAGCTGTGGCTGCAGGAATGGGAAGCGTCTGAGGCTGGTAATAAAATGAAGTCATGTTTAAGTTCAATTCATTCATTTGAGCATCTCAGCATCTATTCAACTGCTGGCAGCCACAGTTCTTCAAGTTCCCCTCCTCCCATCGTGGTTCAGGTGGATCCTTGTCACCTGACAGGTGAGTTTCCTTACCAAATATTTACTCTGAGTCTGTAATGCCTAGTATAAGATGTGAAAGAAATAATGAGAGAATAAGGACATATAAGGTAGAGAAAGAGCAAGACATGATTAAAAGAGAAAAAAGCACAGAGGACACTACTATTTATTTATTGTTAATATGTAAGAGACATCCACGTCAGGCAATTTATATGACTAGCTTCATTTATTGTCACAGTGACTGGGTACTATTATTCCCATTTTTAGAGGAGAGCTTTCATAAATGAACTGACTTGCCAGGAGAGATGAGTGCAGTCTCTCACTTACGGAGTCTGCCTAGGCTCTTTCAGCTTTATCTCCTCCAGCGCTTTCCACAGCACTTCACATAGGTAAGCCCAGAAAGTTTAGGTAGCCTTCCCAAATCACACAGCAAGGCAGAGCTGAGATATGGATGGGAACTTAAATATATACACACACATCTAAACGCTCTATTTTTACAAATTCCTGCTGCAATGAAGTAGTTTCTTTTATCAGCTTTAGCTAACATTTTCATTGCTAGGGGAAACCCATATGATTGTGATTGTTTTGAAGTTCTGAGTCAAAGTGACTGTGCTGTTGAAACTCAGGTCACTCCTAGTAAGAATGTGAGCAGGTCTTTGGGAGATGGGAAGATTTCGCTGTCAGTTCTTGGGTTATTTGGTTTATTTTAAATGACATATAATATTGATCCAGTTCCAAATCTTTCCCCAAACCTATTCATGCTCAGGCATCCGAAGGCACTTGTCATTTGGTGGCACAAAGATTTAGAGGATCATGCCAATGTATTATTCAAGTCATTTACTCATGTTAATGTATTATTGAAACACAGCGCTTAACAAGTTTCTGAAAGAGACTAGTTGCATATGAACAGGAACAGTATCATGATGACACTAGCATGATACGTTGTGGAGAGCCATCCCTTATGCTTCAGAACACGGATTCAACTCTGCTTGCAGCTGGGCCAGCCACCCACCTGGGACCCTTGCAGACAAGTGGGATTGGACAAGAGCCATTGTTTTGGTTGGTAATCTCTGACCCATCTGACATTCATTCCATCGTTGACTCAGCCTTTCAAACACTGGCTCACACACTCACCAAATAGACACTAAGTGCTTATTGTGTCAACAATTCTGTTTTGCAGGAAGTTCCACCCTGAATTAAGAAAGAAGAGTTGATACAAATTACAAATGACACACTATGCTGATGAAAACACTTATTGACACCAATAAACTATTCATTCTCATTCAAATGTTCATTCATTCAGATTTTACAAATACTGAGATATGCAGACTCTCTCTCAGATGTCTCCAATCAGGATTAGCATGCAGAGGGACCAACTCAAAATTTGAAATACTGAAGAGATATCTACAGCTGTCTGTATGGAAGATTTCGTTATTTTAAATCTTCCTCTTTTCCTTGCTTACAATTCTAAAATTTGGAAAACACAGAAAAGTACAAAGATAAAAAAAGTATTATTTCAACATTCTGAAATCACCACTTTTAATATTTTAGTCTTTAGCTTTTTGATCTTCCTTGTGAAAAATTTTAAATTTCTATATAAATGTATAGATACATACAGATAGAAATCTACACATATTTTCTACCCCCCCAAAAGCATATTATACACAGTATTTTATAGCCATTTATTCACTTAGCAAGTATGAGCATCTTTTGATACCAACGAATATTCTTCTATATTATTTTTAGTGGCAGCATATCCATTGTGTGCATATATCGTATTTTACTTAGACAATCCTATTGCTGAAAATTTAATTTGTTTCTGAATTTTTTATATTGTGAATTAAACTATGATATCAGTCAGCTATTGTTAAAATAATGCTGGATAACAAACCACTACAAAACTCAGTGGCTTAAAATGATAATGCTTATATTCACAGATCTATTGGTTGACCCTGGCACCTCTGGTTCCCTTTGCAGAACTGCAATCCAGTATTTTCTTCAGGTGAGTCCCATCTTCCTTGAACCACCGGGGTAACTGGGGGATGCAATTTCCACAGCAATAGCAGAGGCAAGCCCCACCATGCACACACATTCCAAACCCTTGCCGATAGTACATCTGCTTGTAACCAATTGCTCAAAGCAAATCACATAGCCAAGCTCCAATTTCATGCCACCTTTGTCAAGAGAAACTGCAGGAGAACATGGAAAAAAGCATGGAAGCTGAGAGGGCTTAAGAATTTGAGACAGTAGTGCACACTAACACAATTATAGAGAGCATTACTATATATATATATATATATATATGTAATCTTGAAATGTTGTTTCTTTAAGATTATTTCCTGAAAGTGAGTTGGGACAATATACTTTACTTGTCTGTATACATGTGCCTAATGTGCCTACATCACATGCTTTAGGTATGGAAATCTTCAGGTACACTTAAAGCTCCTCTCTAAAGAGTTGATTCAGGCCGTCTCCGGATTGATGGGATTTGTGTCCCTGTTCTTCACCTACTGGTTGGTACTGCGTCTCAGGTACTATATTTCTTCTGGATCTCCTGGTCAATGACCTCAAATGATCTTGCTTTTCTTCTTCGATCAACATGATCACTATTATTTTTTGACACACGCTTGATATTTGCCTTTCCGCACCAAGCAAGGTGGCCTTAAGGAAAAGACACTGGCAAAGTACCCTCTCCAGACTTGCTAAACTGACAGGTCTTCCTAGTTCCCAGTCTAACCTGAGCTGGGAGAAGGAAATCAAACTTAGACTAGTGGTTTTATTCCTGAGAAGTTTTTCTCCTTTCCTTATTAAGATTTGGCTTCCTTGATTCTTTATTTTGTCAGTTATTATGACTACTCTTAGGTGTCTCCATCTTCATAGAACATGAGTGGGTACCTTGAAAGCCATTAATGGGTAAACTGGTTAAAATCTTAGAATTTCTATGGAGGAGGTGATAGTGGATCACTCACGATTTTTTTCTACCTCTGTCTTTAGAATACTAGATCAATGGCTTTCAAATTTGAACACACATGATAATATCCTGGGGGATTCTTAAAATCATGGTTCTTACACTTGGCCATTCATCCTCACTCTCAAAATTATGGATTAGTAGTCTAACAAGATACCCAGAATTGTCATTTTTAGTGAGAGTGCTTTGGATGCAGTGAAATTCAGAGCACATCTTAAGAAACACGTCTAAGACAGAGTTATTGTTGTTGTTTTTAATATGGCTGCACATTTAAAAAAATGTGAGATTTCAAAACAAAAACAGTGCCTGAGTCCCACCCCCAAAATTTTTATTTAATTGGTTTTGGGTGGGCTAAAACAATAGCATCCTACAGAAACCCCTCACCCCCATAGAATTTAATATGTAGACAGTGAGAATTATTGTTCCAGACCCTCAAAAGTTTACTGAGAATTCATGGATGTCACTATTTGGCCATCCGTAGACATACACACATGCACACACATATCCCTCTGGCCATTCTTTTATGTATTTTTCTTTTTTCTCCAGGGAGAAGAGAAAGACCTGTCTGTTGTTAACTACAACACTAACTTTGTGTAAGAGCTTTCCCAAATGAGAATTTGTGATATGAAAATTGTTCCTTGGGACTTCTGGTTTGAGCTCTGCCATATAAAGAGCTTGGTAGTCATCATTCTCACTATTACAATAAGATCAAGCTGGAAAAACTGAAAAGCAATGACTTTTTTTGGTTGTCTCAGAGAACTGAGTTTGCAGGGAAAACAACTACCCTGAAATATGGAGAGATGGGCACATCTCTGGAGAGAGAGCAACTGACATCTGCTTGCTTGAAGCAGAAACCACTGGAATCATAAACTGGTAAGAACATTGCAGAAAAGTTAACATAGCAGGCCTGAGACGGTTATTCCTGGGAAGACCTGCTTGCAAGGTTGGCCCTTGGCTGGTTCCTGGGAACATGGATTTTTGGAGGGTTCTCACCATTTCCAGAAGTGATAACAGGGCTCACTATGCTTAGACTATTTGTATAAACCATGTGGTTCATGCTTCAGGCACCTATTTTCCTTCTGGGAGACTGGAATTTTGGTATGTGAGAAGTAGAGGGTAACCCCCCCAAAATTTGGGGGCACTGAGTTTTTAATGAGCTTCCCTGAGAGGCAACATTTAGTATGAATTGTCACAACCCATAGCTGCAAGAATTAAGAGCATCATGTATGCCTCCTTTGGGAGAAGATTCTGGGAAGTTTGTGCCTGGTTTCCTCCAAACCTCACCCGACATCTTTTCCCTTTGATGATTTTGCTTTGCATCACTTTACTATAATAAATCATAGCTGTGTAATGATATGTTGAGTCCTGTGAGTCCTTCTATTACATTACTAAAGCTGGGGGTGGTCTTGGGAATCCCTGATAGAAACTCTTAAATAGCAAATTTGATGAATTACAGGAGGCTGAGTGTGGACAAGAGTGAGAGTGGGAAACTCCTGAAGACTATTGTCTTGGGGGCTCCCATGCATTCACAGGCTTCATATCCAGGAACCCCACCCAGTTCTCATGGTGAAGTTTTGTGAAAGACTCTTTTCTTGTTTTGGTATGGACAGGGGAAGAGTTATTATTGTGAAATATACTCAAAGACTTCTGTGTAACAAAATCCCACTGCCCAGGGGAAAAGTCTTTGCCAAAGACTGAGACCAAGAAGAACATTCCTTCTATTCCTGTCCCCTCCAGGCTTCCTGTCTCACCTAAGAGGGGAAAACATCCAACAGGAGGCAGAGTATCAAGGAAATGGATTGAGAACACTGTACCCAAGGAAAGAATTCAGGATCTAGGGAGGGGAAAAAAATATACCATTGAGGGACAGTTGTGGAGAACACAGCCTTGAGACACAGGCCCATTAAAAGACTGTGATTTAATAGGAAGATTATACAATGTTCTGCATCCAGGAAAACTGAACACTACCACAACAGGGCTACATTATAAACACAGTAGATTATAGCTGAAAGAAGAGCAAGATACAGACTCTAAGGAAAAGCATTTAGGGGAACCCAAAGTCTAGAGAAAATAAAAACAAGGATAATGTAGGAAGTTGAATTTGAATTTGCACCTACAGCTACAAAAAATAATTTTAAACATAGCACTCCTTATAATCAGATTAACAAAAATCCTCGCATTGAAGGTTTATTTATCTCAGTTCTTATTACGTGATACAAGATGTCTAGCTTTTAACAAAAAATTATAAGGCATGCCTAAAGGCAAGAACACACACAGTCTGAAGAGACAAAGTAATCATCAGAACCAGACTCAGATATGACACAATATTAAAATTGCCAGCCAAGAAAGCCAAAATGACTTTGACTAAATTGCTAAGGGATCTAATGGAAAAAAACTATACCTAATGTACGAACAAGCAGGTAATATAAGGAGAGAAATGGAAATACTATAAAAAGAATCATAAAGAAATGCTATAAATCAAAAACATTGTAAGAGGAACGTAGAATACCTTTGATGGGCTCACCAGTAGACTAGAAAGAACTGAGGAAAGAATCAGAGCTTAAAGATTAGTGAATAAAAACTCTGAAAACTAAAATGCAAGGAAAACAAGTGAAGAAAAAATAGCAAGAACTGTAGATCCAAGAACTCTAGGATAATTTCCTCAGATGTAACATATGCATAATTGGAATGTGAAAATGAAAAGAAAGAGTGAGTGGAGCAGAAGAAATTTTTGCGGTAATAATGGCACATCACATTTAAACCTTGGAAACTAAAGACAATGAGAAAATTTTAAGAGAGAAAGAGAGGGACAGAGAAGCACCTAACATAGAGCAATAAGAATAAGAATTATGACAGACTTCTCATCAGAAATCACGCAAGCAAGAAAAGAGGAGAGTGAAATATTTGGAGTGTTAAAAGAAAAAAAATCAACCTAAAATTATTTGCAGTAAAATTATCCTTCAAAAATGAAAGATAAATAAAGACTTACCTGGAGAAATAGAAATTTGCCTAATTCTTACAGACAGAACTTCCCTGACAGAAATGATAAAAGACAGCTTTCAGTCAGAGGGAAAATGATATAGATCAAAATTTTGAATCTCCATAAAGAAAGGAGGAGCATAAGAGAAGACATAAACGAAAGTAAAACAAAACTTTTATTTTTCTTACTTGTAATTGATCTAAAAGAGTACCATCTAAAGTAATAAAGTAGCAATATATTGGGTGATTATAGCATAAGGATAAGTGAAGTAAATGACAGCAATGTCACAAGGGATGGAGGGAGGATTTCAGAATTACATGTTACAAAGTACCTGTACTACACAGGAAGCAATATAATGTTATTTGAAGGAGAATTATATTAGCTATAAATGTATACTGCAAACTCCAGCACAACCACTAAAATTTTAAACCATTAATATAATGGATACTAAGAGGGGAGATACAATGGAATCACATAAAATGTTCAATTAAAACCAGAGAAGTCAGAAAAATAAAGAGAAGAAAGAAACAAAGGACAAAGGCAACAAACAGAAAACATGCAAGATCAACTATATCAATAATCACTTTCAATATGAGTGGTATACATATACCAATTTAAAGACACACATTTGTCAGAATGGGTTAAAAAATGAAAACCAAGCTCCATGTTGTCTACAAAAAACCCACATTAAAAATAAAGAACCATATTCATTAAGAGTGAAGGAATGGAGAAAGGTATACCATGCTAACACTATAAAAGTAAAGCTTGAGTAGCTGTATTAATTTCAGACAAAGCTGACTTCAGAATAAGGAAGATTATCTGGGATAAGGAGGGGCCACTGCATAGTGATAAAATGGTCAATTCTCTAAGAAGACATAGTACTACTGAAGGTGTATGCACCTAACAACAGAGCTTCTACATACATGAGGCAAACTGAGAAATAAACAAATTCACTATTACAGTTAGAGACCTCAACACAGTTCTGTCAGTAACTGATATATAAATCAGGCAGAAAATCAGTAAAGATGCAGATGATCTGAACAGCACTATCAACTAACTTGATGCAACTGACATTTATAGAACACTCCATCCAACAATACCAGCATACACAGTCTTCTTAAGCTCATATGGCACCAAAGTAGACTGCATTCTGGGCCAGAAGTCACAACCTAACAAATGTAAAAGAATAGAAATCATGCAAGACATGTTCTCAGACCACAAGAGAATTAAACTAAAATCAATAACAGAAAGCCAGAAAATTCTTAAGTATTTGGAAATTAAACAACACACTTGTAAATAATACATGGACCAAAAAAGAATTCCCAAGAAAATTAAAATTTATTTTGAACTGAATGAAAATAAAATGTTAACTTATCAAAATTTGTAGAATGCAGCAAAATAGTTCTTAGAGGAAAATGTATAGCATTAAGCACATATGTCAGAAAAAAATGGAGAAATAAAATCAATAACCTAAGCTGCCACCTTACTTAGGAACTAGAGAGAAAAGAAAAGTTTAATTTTAAAGCAAGTAAAATAAAAATAAAAATTAGAGAAGTAACCAATGAAATTGAAAATTGGAGAATAATAGAAATTATCAAAGAAACTAAAAGTCGTTTCTTTATTTTTCTAAGATGAATAAAATTGATAAACACCAGTCTGGGCTAAACAATGAAGAAAGAAAGGAGAAACAAAATACCAATATCGTAAGCGAAAGGGAGGTCATAAATACTGATGCCATGGACATTAAAAGGATAATATAGGAATATTGCAAATAACTCTATGACCACAAATTTAATAACTCACACAGAATGGATGAAATCCTTGAATAACACAAACTATAAAAACTGACACAAAGAGAAATAGATAACTTTAATAGTACTATATCTTATAAAGACATTAAATTAATAATTAGTATTTTCAAAATGAAATCACCAGGTCCAAATAGTTTCACCAGTGAATTCTACCAACATTTAAGGAAGAAAGGATACCAATTTTTTACAATCTCTTCCAGGAAATAAAATCATAGGGAAAATTTTCTGACTCATTCCATGAGGTCAGTGTTCCCCTAATACCAAAACCAGGTAAAAATATTAGGAGGAAAAAAAAGCAATGAATAAACTGCAGACCACCAATATCACTTATAAACATAGCCACAAAAATCTTCAATAAAATATTAGAAAATCAAATCCAACAGGATCTGAAAAGAACTACATACCACGGTGAAGTGAGATTTATTTGAGGCTTGCAAAACTGTTCAACATTTGACAATCAATCAATATAATTAACCCACTGTATTCATGTGCTAAAGAAGAAAAACTATTTGAACATCAGTTGACACTGAAAAAATGTTTGAGAAAATTCAACAGCCATTCATAAGCAAAATTCTCAGCAAACCAGAAACTTCTTCAATTTGAGAGAGAACATTTACAAAAAACCTTCTGCTAACTTCATACTTAATGGTGAGAGACTGGAAGATTTTGCCCTAGGACTGAGAACTAGGAAAAGATGTCCTCAGTCACCACACTGTTCAAAATTGTTGTGAAAGTCCTAGTTAGTGCAATCAGACAAGAAGAATAAATAAAAGGTATACAGATTGGGAATAAAGAAATAAAAGTGCCTTATTCACCAATGCCAAGATTGTCACTGCAGAAAATTTCAAAGGATCTATAAAATTACTCCTGAAACTAATAAGTGAGTATATCAAGGTGGCAGGATTCAAGATTAATATACAAAGTCATTTGTTTTCATATACACCATTTACACTAGCATCCTTCATGAAACAAAGAGAAATAGTTATAAATCTAACACATATGTACAGGATATGTGTATACTACAAACTACTGATGGAAAAAATCGCAGAATATATAAGTAAATGGAGAGATATTTCATGTTCATAGATTACAGGGCTCAATATTTTTAAGACATCAGTTCTTCCTACTTGGTCTATAGTTTCAATGCAACCCCAGTCAAAATCTCAGCAAGCTATTTTGTAGATATTGACAACCTCATCCTAAAATTTTTATGGGAACGCAAAAGACCTAGAATAGCCAGCACAATACTGAAGAATATCAAAGTTGTAGGATTGACACTACCAATTTGAAGACTAACTACAAGACTACAGTAATCAAGACAGCGCAATATTTACAGGAAAATAGACACATGGTTTAATGGAACATAACAGAGAGCCTAGAAATAGACCTACATGAATATAGTCAACAGGTATTTGACAAAGGAGCAAAGTTAATTCAATGAAGAAAGGATAGTCTTTCAAAGAAAAGGTGCTGGAACAAGCGGATGTCTATATCCAAAAACAAAAAAAGGAACCCAGATATAGACCTTAAAACTTATTTAAAAAAAAAA